GAAAAGGAACAGGAATGACTGATTCTATTTCTCTTTCTGATTATAGAATCAAATTGTTCTGTAACTACAGTTACTTGACATTCAGCTTTTGTGGTTGCTTTTGTTTTTGTGGTACTGGGGATTGAACTCAGGACCTTGCCCTTGCCAGGCAGGCACTTATTCTACTGAGCTATCTCCCAGTCCTTGACATTCAGTTTTTGAATAAGAACTTTTGTTTCTTTTTTAAAGATAGGGTCTCACTAGGTAGTTCAGGTTGGCCTTGAACTCACTATGGAGCCCAGGCTGGCCTTGAACTCTTAGATCCTAAGTCTCTTGAGTGCTGAAATTACAAGTGTGGGCCACCATGCCTGGTGCCAGAACCTTTTATAATTTTAGGTTCCAGTCTTCAGTTAGTGTTCCTGAAATAGAGAAAAATTACTCATAAGTATAGCTTTTAAGCATCTTGTTACATGTTGATCTAATAGAAATTCAAGTTTATTCTGAATACAATGGTGGTTGCATGTTTCTGAGTCATCAAGGTTGTGTGGTGGTGGTAGTGGGTGGGAGGGATTGAATCCAAGACTTTCACATTGAACAACATCCCCAGCACTTTTGGGGGGGGGGGATTTGGCTATCTGGGAGAGGGTCTCACTGTGTATTTCAGATTGGCTTTGAACTTACTTTGTAGTGGTCCTCTTGCCTTAGCTTCCCAAGTGCTGGGATTACATATGTGCTTGATGACACTGGGCCCCAGCCCTTTTTTTGTTTTGAGATGGTGTGTCATTAAGTTACCTACTAAGGGCAATATGATCACCCTCATCACAGGCTTTGATCACAGGCCTGTGCCACCATGACTGTGTTACTCTTAATAGATTTGGAATAGATTTCTGAGCTCTTTGAGTGTGTGTAAATATAATAGTTATTTCCTGAGAAAGCTCAGCTGTTTGCACTTTACACCAAGGCTGATTTTTACCCTAATGTGGCTTAATATCATCCATGAGGTTTGTCTTGGTCTTCTTGCCAGAAGGCCAGAATAGGTCTAGGAAGCCACCACTTCCTCTGGAAAACTGCTTGGCAAGGCAGGCATGGTGGTGTACCCCTGTAATTCCAGTGTTCTGGCAGGCTGACTCAGGAGGATAGTAAGCTCAAATTCTGCCTGGGCATTTAGTAAGACCATGCCTCAAAATTAAAAAAAGAAGGATTGAAGATGCAGCTTAGTTCAAAGGGCCTTAGGTTCAATTTTCAATACTGTGGAGAAATAAAACCTGCTTGGTAGGGAGTTAAGTCCCTTCTTGTGACCTGAATCATGGAAGAGGAAGCGTCCTCTGGTGCTGCTTCACTTAGACCCTTTGAAACCTCATTTTCTTTAAATAAATAAAGAAAGAAGAAAAGAAACCTCATTTTCTTATAGCTCCTTCCTGGTTAGGGTTAGGGTTACTATTACTCAATGGTCCATATTTTGCTGGAATTAATGGTCTCAAGATTCCCTCAGATTCACAGTAGATTATTGAAGTAAAGAGTACCTGAGTTTTGACCTGTAGGCATGATGCGGGCATTTCTTTCATCCCCATCCGTGTTTTAGGAGTCATAGTACTGGCTGGTGAGAGGTATATACAGCTAGCTGACACTTGTATATCTTTTTTTTTTTTTTTTTTTTTAATTTTTTTATGTATTTAGTACAGGGTCTCACAACATAGATTGGACTTGTGGTAATCCTCCTGTTTATGGCCTCCCAAGAGCTGGGATTACAAGTGTGTGCTACCACCCCCAATCTTAATCCTTGCAGTGTGCCCTGGGGGCGGGGCCAGCACAGCTGGCTCAGGGATTGAACCCCCCACCCCTGTGTTTGTCTAAGCCGGTGCTTTAATCCACTGAGCTATCTGGCTGGCCCACACTTGTATGTTATTATCTCATGTAGGTCATTGAATTCTTGGCAATTGCCACTAAAAGAATAAATTCATTCTACTGTAAGTATTACAAAGTAATAGTACTCTTTTTGTTTGTGTGCTTATTTGCAGTGCTAGGTATCAAACTTAGGGCCTCATATATGATAGGCAAGCATTCCAACTCTGAGCTAAACCTCCAGTTTGCTTTCATACCTTCTTTTCTCAGCAGAAAGTAACTTCACTGGAATAGTCTGTCTGAATTTGTCTTTAGCATAGTTGTCATTTATTTTTGATTTTATCAGAGGGTCATGTTGTTATCTATTGATAGACTTTGTTATGGCTCCTAGTATTACTGAAAATAATGAATCAGGCTAATAAGCACAGTGTTAAAATTTATTGACCTTCTTTAAATAGCAGTTTTATTTTGAAAATATGTAAGATCACTTAATAATATTAGTCAGGTGTGATTGTGCGTGCCTATAATTCCAGCACACAGGAGGCTAAGGTAAGAGGAGGATTGCTGAGGGTTCAAGTCCAGCCTGGACTGCATAATGAGTCCCGACAACCTGAACTACATAGCAAGGGAGACCCTGTCTCACTAGTTCTAGGCTCCATGGATCCAAGAGAGGTTGCCTGACTATTGTGCTTAGCTTAAGGGGCCACATAGACCATCTGTGGTAATGAAAGGAGGTGACTACTAGACATGGCCAGGGCTTTTCTGGCTTCCTGAGGAGCTCACTGCCTTTGCTAACACTTGGTGTCTTGGATAAAAGAAGACAAAAAAGATTCCAGCTAGGAGCATATGTCTATTACGTTTTTTAAAAGTATTAGTAGCCAAAAATTATATTCAAAGTTAAAGGTTAAAAGTTTCATCTTTTTATTTTCAGTAGTGGTTTTTTGGAATGAATAGTTTTGCTAGGGCCACAGTTAGGAGACATATCATCAATAATTCAGGAAATGCAGGCTTGAAGTCTCCACGAGCCTTGAAAAGAAAATACTTTGACAACATACATGGCCTCTTACCCTATCATGGAAAGGAAATAGGTGCACTTATCCTAATTGAAGTAAAACTGAAAAAAAAAAAAAATACCCAACTCCTGAGTTACTGTTTTTTTTTTTCAGATGTACTTGTGCTATGGGACAGTAACCATACTCACTGATTGCACAGGCTGTGGCATTAATTGTCCTCTGGGCTATGCCCCCTTTAGTCTCCAGTTGGGGATCAGTTTAACTCTAGGGGTTGTCACACTTGGTTAGTGTTTCATAATTAGCTTACTTACCAATTAACTAGATATTATGGCTATAACATGTATAGTAGTAGATGCTTATCATTTGCTTCCTTAATGCTGAAATGCCAACTTCTTTCTACGTCAATAATCATCTGTAACATTCCTTTCAATAACTAGATAGTAGTCTATTGCATGAATCTGCCATATATTATCTAGCTCATTCTGCTGGACATTTAGGTTATTTTAAACTTCTTACTGTATTAAATAAACCAGTGGCACACATATCCTTCACCAGTTCCTCTGGAAGAATTTCTAGAAGTAGAATTACTAGTTCAAATTATCTGAGCAAGTCATGGTATCATACAGCACCCAAGAGGCTAAGGCAGAAAGATGCCTGCAAGTTCAAGGCTAGCCTGGGCTACATAGTGAATTCAAAACCAGCCTAAACTACATAATGAGACCTTGCCTCAAAAACTAAACAGTAATAACAAATCATCTCTGAAGCTTTTGAATACAGAATACTTTTGAGACTGGGCGTGGTAGTGTGTGCCTGTTAACCTAGCACTTGGGAGACTGAAAACAGGAGGATCACTACAAGTCTGATCTGTGTAGTGAGACCCTGTAGACCCTGTACTAAAAAGGTTAAAAGAAGAGTGCTTTTAAGCGGTCCCTAAAAGATAAGAGCCCACAGTTTTTTAAACTATTTTTGCAATTAGAATTTATAGAATACTGGGAATTGAGTTTTAGACAAGATTTGGAGATTTATTATTTTCTGGGGGTATTTTTGTGGATTTGTTTCTTTCTTTTTTTCTGCAGAACTGGGGATTGAACTGAGGCCCTTGCACTTGCCAGGCAAGTGCTTATTCTATGAAGCTGTCTCCCTGGCCCCTCTTTTTTGTTTTTGTTGTAGTTTATACAAGGAAGTGAAGGTTTGGAAATTTTCTGCAAACACAAGGCCTAACTACTTTGTGTATATGGCCTCCTATGGCATGTGAGGGAACACATATATGTTTCATCTCCTTTTAAATTTTTTGTTGTAGTGGAGACTGAACAGAGCTACATTCCCTAGTCCTATTTATGTATTTATTTATTTTCATACTTTGAGTCTTGCTAAGTCACTAATTTGCTGGGCGAGGCTCAAACTTAAGATCCTCCTTCCTTGGGCTCTACAAAAACTAGGATTGCTGGCATCCAGCACCATGCCCAACCCCATATCTCTTGTGATTATAGTTACCAGTTTGTTATTTGCCATAGAAGAGGTGCTTTGGCTTAAATATCAAATGAAATTTTCTTGGAAGGATCATTAATTAAAACAAAGATAGAAGGGCGGGGGAGATAGTTCAATAGTATAAACTCCTGCCTGGCAAGCAGAAGGTCATGAGTTCAGTCTCTGGTACTGCAAAATAATAATAATAACAACAACAACAAAGAAGAAGAAGAAGATCATAAAAATACCAAACTTAAGGGTCTGGGAGTTATAAGCACCTACCTGGCACGCACAAGGACCTGAGTTTGATCCCTGACCCCATAGACCCTGGAACCCTGCGTGCATCATGCTGGCCTCAGAACTGGACATGGTAGAATGTGCCTGTAATCCCAGCATGTGGGAGGTGGAGACAGGAGAATCACTGTGAGTTCAAGACCAACCTGGGGACTACAAAAGTGAGCACAAGGCCAGGCCGAATTGTATAGCCAGTCCCTGTGTCAAATAAATAAATAAACAAAATTTTAAAATTACCAAGATTATAAGGGTCTGAATTTGAAAGGCAAAGTAGAGTCAACAGAAAGAATTTGGAAATTAAACCTAAGTTTTGGATGGACTTCATTATACACATCTCAAATTGTGGAGCACTCTGAACGAAACTCCTGTTATAATTTGATTTTTTTTTTTCTTTCTTCTTTTCAGGTATCTCATTCTGTTGCCAAACTTATATTAGTTAATTTCCACTGGCAAGTCTCAGAGATACTGGACAGGTAAGATTGTTAGAGGAGAGGAGATGGGATTGCATATAGCTCTCTTCTCTGCCCACTCACCCACTGGTGATCATTATTTACACTTTGGAGCATATTCTTTTTATGTGCATATTATAGGATTTAAATACTAATATTACATCTCTTTAAATTATAAACATTTTTCCATTATCATCAGCATATTCTCCCAAGGGGTTGGTTTTCTTTTTTTTTTTTTTTTCATTTGTTTGATCAGAAATGAGCTCAGGATCTGTGCTGCCAGGCAGGCACTAGGCCACAGAGCTAAATCCCTAGCCCCATCTTCTTTATATGACAATGTTTCATTATATAGGTGTTCCATACTGTTTTCCAAACTGTGCTTCTATGCTGTTGTTTTTTGTTGTTGTCAATTTTTGGTTTTTTGCTATTGTGTGTGTGTGTGTGTGTGTGTGTGTGTGTGTGTGTGTGTGTGTGTGTGTGTTTTAACAGGGTCTCACCATGTAATTCAGGCTGGTCCTGAACTTACTATGTAGCTCAGGCTAGCTATCCTCCCAGGTCTGCCTCTTGAGTGTTGGAATTAATAGGCATGTGCCACCACATCTGGCTTTGATTTTTTTTCCAAAAAAGAAAAAGGGGGGAAAATTATATATGTTTATTTTACTTATTTGTTACAGGGTCTCACTGCACAGTTCAGACTTGTAGTGATTAGCGCTGGGATTACACGTTTATACCCATTTTTGGACTGGCACAGTACACCCAAGGGTTCCAGGGATGGAACTTGGGTCTTTGCGCTTGCCAGGCATGTGCTTAGACCACTGAGCTATCTCCCTAGCCCTCCAGCTTTGATTTTTAATTGGTGCCCTTCTAGATGACACTTCCAGTTACTGCACTCCCAGTACCCTGGTACTAGGGATTGAATGCAGGTCTTTAACATTGAGCTACATCTCCAGCTCCTTTTTTTTTTGAGATAGAGTCTTGCTAAGTTGCCCAAGCTAGGGTTGTACTTTTGATCCTCTTGCCTTAGTCTTCCAGAGTATTGGAATTACAAGTATGCTCCAGTATCCTTGGCTCCAGTAACCCTGGCTCCAGTTACTACTATTGGATACATCAAGTGAGGACCTTATTGTTAATACATCACATTAATGGTTTTTAGAATATCAGCCACTTTACCATCTACTGCCATTGCCAGAGGGTATTAAGAGTATTCCTTCATACTTCTCCAAAGCCAGAACTTTCAAGCCATAGGTCCTAGAGTCTCAGATGTCTTGGTAGTTGTCAGGAAAAGGCATCCTCGTGCATCTTCTGGAAAGATCTCCTCTGCCCCACCCACACTGGCAGGTGTCTAGCTCAGTATTTTTCATCCTCAGCACTATTGACATTTGGGCCTGGACAGTTGTTGGTTTGTTTATTGCTGTTGTTGTGTTTTTGTTTAGGGTTTTTTGTTTTTTGTTTTTTTAGTATTTTTGAGACAGGATCCCGCTATGCAGTTCAGTCTGGCCTTGAGCTTACTTTGTAGCCCAGACTGCTCTCAGAACTTTGCAGCAATCCTCCTGTCTCAACCTTTTGAGTGCTGTTATTACAGGCATGTGCCACTATGCCCACCTGGACAGTTATTTTACTGTGAGGGAGTACTATGTGAACTATAGGATGTTTGACAGTGTTCCTGGTCCATATCCACTTGAAGTCAGTGGCAGTATTATATCCAAGTCCTTGACAACCAAAATTGTCTAAAGTATGTATCAGATAATCCATGATGAACAAAATAATAACTATTATTATTATTTCTTCAAGACAGGGTCTCACTGTGTAGTTCAGGCTGGCTTCAAATTTTCTTTTTTCTTTTTTAGGGAAGGGTCCACAAGGTGTTCAGGGACTTAGTACTAGATCAGACTCGTAGTGATCCGCCTGTTTACTGTTTAATCCCAAGAGCAAGGATTACAGGCCAGCCTCACCACACCCAGTCTCAGTTGCTGTCTCAGCATACCCTGAAGGCAGGGCCAGCACAGCAGGCTCAGGATCAAACCTCTGGCCCCTGCGCCTGTTTGCAGGTGCTTTAATCCACTGAGCTATTTAGCCAGTCCTAAATTTTCAAATTCATGGTGATCCTTCTGCCTCAGCCTCCTGAGTGCTGGCATTACAGATGTGTGAAACTGTACCTGATGTCTAGGGAATAAAATTTCCCCAAGTGAAAAGCACCATATTACCACTGCCTATTAACACCATGGTGGATTATTCTTTTTTCTTTTCATTTTTGGTGATTTGAGACTGGGTCTTACAATGTAGACTAGGCTGACCTCAAAGTCATGGCAATTTTCTTGCCTCAGCCTCCCACACAATGAGATTACAAGCGTGTACCACCACATCAGACCAACAATGGATTTTTCTTTCTTCCTATGTTGTAATTCCATTTATGTATCTACAAAGGAAAGTTAAACCTTTTCTCCTTTGAGGTAAATATAACTGAGATGACCATACCAGCTTAGTATGCTCAAAAAAGGGCAACTCATTCCTGTCACTACATTTACATTTTCTGTACTCAAGAGCTGAACATAGGGAATTACAGATGAACTTCCACAATTGATATAGCTGGAGCCACATAGATTCTGGTAATGGGTTATGTCTGACTGCCCAGTCTCTATCATAACTTGGGAGTAGAGATTTGAATAGTTAACGTTAAGAGTTAGCAAAGCACAGGGACCACGGTTCAATCCCCCAGCACCACATGCCAGCCAGCCCCGCCCCCTGGTGGGCTGAGCTGGCCACGCACGCGCGCGCATACACACAATAAATAAATAAATAAACTTTAAAAAAAAAAAAAAAAGAGTACTAGTGTGAGAACTAGGAATGAAACAGTTCCTCAACAAAGATAGGTAGAGGTAGGATTCTGACTACAAACGGTAAGGTGGTGACATGTGGTGCTTTTCAAGCTGCAGTAAGTGGTGTCTTGGAAATTTATCTGGGCTTGGTGTAGCACTTTTATTGCCACATGATAATTCTGTTTATTTTTAAACATATTTATGTTATGGCTTTTTCCAGAAGGGACTGAAATTTTACTATTAAAAAATTTTTTTAGAGAATGGGACCAGCCAGATGGCTCAGTGGACTACCTGCTTAGGCAGGTACAGCAACCAGGTCCAAGTGTACCCTACCGACCCTACCCCCAGAGCACACTGAGACTGGGCATGGTGGCGTGTGCCTGTAATCCAGCACTTGGGAGGCTGAAAACAGGAGGATCACTATGAGTCTGATCTGGTAGTGAGACCCTGTAGACCCTGTACTAAAATACATTTAAAAAAAGAAAAGAATATATATGATCATAGAGCAGTCATTTTGGTATCCACACAAACGACCATCTGAAGCTGGTCATGATAGTAAAGGCCTGTAATTCTGGCTGCTTAGGAGGCTAATGGAGGAGAATCATAAGATCAAGGCCAGCTGGGGCAATAATGGCAAATTCAAGCCCAGCCTGGGTAACTTAGTGGACTCAAAATATATATATATATATATATGGAAGATTGAAGATGTAGCTTAGCAGCTGGGCATGGTGTCACACGCCTCTAATCCCACTGCTTGGGAGGCTGAAGCAGGAGGATCATTGTGACTTCCAGACCAGCCTGGGTTACAAACTAAGCTTAAGGCCAGTCTGAACTGCATAGCGAAAAGAAAGAAAGATGGATGGAGCTCAGCTTTCAGGTCCTGGATTCAACCCCCAGCACCATGTACATGAATACATACATACATACATACATACATGAATAAATTAATGGCTTGGACTGTAGCACAACACTTCCTGTGTTCAATCTCGAGTACAAGGAAAAATAAAGCCAGGCTGTGCATATACCTATAGTCCTAGCACTTGAGAGGCTGAGGCAGGAGAATCACTAAGTTTGAGGCCAGCCTGAGTTACGTAGTGACCTCAGAGCCAGTTTGCACTATGTGACAGAGACCCTGCCTCAAAAAAACAAGACAGAAAAGAAAGAAAAGCAATAACAGCCTGTCCCTTCCTACACAGAGGCCTATGGAGATAGTTCAGCCTGTCCATATCCCCTTTCTTCATCCCAAAGGCAGCTAGTGGCATTGAACCGAGTGTTTAACTTTCCTAATCACTCTTACATTATACATTTTAGTTGTATGTTTTGGGAACTATATAGATAGGGAATTATGCTATATGTACTTTGTAAATTAACATGGTTACTTTTTATGCTATCTTATCAAAGAATATGTGTTCTTTCTCTGGTCAAGAAAGTCTTTGTGAGGTTTTTAGTCTTTTTTTGCTGTTAAAAAAAATGCAACTCTGAAAACTGTTGTAGGTGACTTTACTTTTTTTAATTTTTCTTGATATCCCATAACTTTTCTAAGGCATAAAAGTAGAGTTTTTGAGAGAGGAAAGGGTTGCAAAAAGAATTGAAATGTGTTAACATGCATGTACCAACTCCCCACAAGAATGTAATCGCTGTGTACTGCAAATACATACTAATAAAAATTAATATCAAAAGAGTGAATTTCTGAGTTGTAGTGTATGTGTGTCTTCAACTTTATTAGAATTATCAGGTGGTTTTCTGAATTAATCATGTTACTTTACACTCTTACCAGTGGCATATCAATGTTTCTGCTTGTCAAAATTAATTTTGCAATCTGATGGATATAGTGGGATGCGACTTTTTTTTTTCCAGTGTCTTAGATTATCAAGGAAGTTAAGTATCTTTTATATGGTTAGTAGCCTTCTATGAAATGCCCCTGCTTTGCCTTTTTTTTCTTTTTTTTTAAAGACACAGAGTCTTGTTATATAGTTTAGGCTAGGCTTGAACTCACCATGTAATCCAGGCTGACCTTGAACTCAGGGATCTCTTTAGCCTCCCAAGTGCTGGGATTACAAGTGTGTACTACCTGAAGTGTTTAAATGTGCCATGATTTACCAGGCATTTTGTGTTTTCTGTTTTCTGTGTTTAGGAATCTTTGCCTATCCTGAAGGTAGAGTTTCTTTCTGTATCTCCTGAACCAATTTTTTTTTTTTTTTTTTTTTTTTCTGTATTTTAGGGAAGGGTCAAGTTGTTCAGGGTCTCACTACTAGATCAGACTAGTAATGATCTGCCCATTTAATCCCTCCCAAGAGCTGGGATTACAGGCGCACGCCACCATGCCCAGTCTCAGTTGCCATCTCAGGGCACCCTGGGGTTGGGGCCGGCATGGCAGACCTGGGGATCGAACCCCCAGCCCCTGTGCCTGCTTGCAGGCACTTTAATCTGCTGAGCTATTTGGCCAGCCCTCCTGAACCAAATTTAATGCAGATCTGGTCTACTATAAATATTTTCTTCAGTCCCTTTGAAATAGTACTTTCCTTATACCATTAAACATTTTAAAAATTGAAGAAGGAAAAAAAATCTTTGTTTTTAGATAAAGTTTGGTTGGTTCTATGGAGAGGTAATTAGAGATAAAGGCAGTTTAATGTGATCATGCTACATGATGCTCTGTCCTATTACTGTTCAAATGTAAAAATATCTTTCATTTTCTGATTTTATTCATTTCTTCTTTTGTAGATATAAGACCAATTCTGCTCAGCTGCTTGTAGAGGCTCGAGTTCAGCCTAATCCATCAAAATATGTGAGTTTCCTTCTAGAGTCTTCTCTCTGGATGCATATGGTTCTCACTGTGGCCTGTACTAATATCACTGAGAACCATTTATGTTTTGCTTCTCAGATAGCATACCCAAAATACTTGCTGAGGCTCAAGTCTTCCATTTCTGTTACAGTTTGAAAAGTTGGAGGTGGGGATGTAGTTCAGTGGTAGAGCACATAGCTAGCATACTCAAAACTGTAGATTTCATTTCCTGTACTGTCCATTAAAAAAAGTTGCCTCATAAATAGGCAGTAACTAATTTCTTGTCTTTGGGCCCTTTGTAGCCTTACTTTACCTTCTTTGGCTTCACACAACCTTCATTCCCTTCCTTCTGGTTTGTTGGTGTTCCCAAGATCATTGTGTACTTCTGTGACATTGCTTGTGCCTTCCCTGACCAAGAATGTTTGAGCTATATTCCTACCTTTGATTGTCGGAATGAAATTTACCTTTAAAGACTCAAATCAAAGTTACCTTTTCACAAAGCCTGTTTGCTATGATGACTGACAGCCCTCCACACTTAGATCTAATAATGTTTTTACACTTTCTTTTTCTTTTTTGTGGTGCTGGAGATGAAACTCAGGTCCTCCAACTGAGGGTTTTTGTGGTTTTTTTTTTGAGATAAGGTTTTATGAAGTCATTAAGTTCTCCAGACTGGGCCAGAATCTTCTTGCCTCAGTCTCCAGGAGTGGTAGAATTATAGATGTGCGTCACCATACCTGGTGTATCTTTACATTTTTGGGGGGATGTTATAATAGCAAGCTCATCTTATTTCTCTCACCATAGGAACTGTTTTAACAGTGCATAGCAATTTTCTTTATATCTGGGAGATCAATGAACATTTATTTTATTTTATTGAGAAACAAGTATCAATGAGACAGTTTCAAAGCTGATTAATAGGATAGTTTCAATAATTAATACCTTGTACCTTGTTATCTTAGTGGTTATCCATAATACAAGAAGCAGACAGGATATCCTGTCCAAATACCGTTAGTATAAATCTTTCTTCTCATTGAATTAAGCGAAAGTAGCTGTATATCTATCCTAACTATTCTGTATATACAAACACAAAATGGTCCTTCCTTTGTATCCCCTTTTTTTGTTTAGTCCTGTCAGAGATGGGTATTCTATTGGCATCTAAATACTATAGGTGCTTGAATTCAGCCAAACAATCCAACACAGTCCAGCAGTCCACAATAGTAGTGGGTTGACCACAGAAGTTGTTGACTTGAGCCTTTTACAGCTCAGCATATTGATATGGCTTTACTTTATATACCTCGTTTTTATACTTTTCTGCTGATGGTTAAGAACAAGATAAATCAAAACCTATATAACAAGAAGTATAACTATTGTATCTGATAAGGTCAGTCAGGTACCCTCAGGATTTATCCTGTAACCCCGTACCGCACTTTGTACATCCTTTGTGGTTGTCAGACATGTGGATGAGTCACGGCCATTGCTTAACCAATTTGCTTTCTGTGAAAGCCTGAGAGAATGTTTTCTCTCCATGTGACTCTCCTTAGGCACACTATACATCATCAATCACATTCCTCTGTGGCTCCATAATCTCCTTGATCAGAAAATTTGGGGTACAACTGAGTTACCTGGTGTTACAATACAGGTTCTCCTATGTCCTGAGTCTTTACTAACCTTGAAAGGCTAGGGCCAAAATGTTGGCTGACCTTGCAGCCCTTCCTTTTCTCCAATTTTTAATCTGCAAACTTAGGCTGTTAACCCTCCAGAAGAGAAGCTTATTATTACCCTACAACATATGCAGTTCGGTTTACCCTATCTGTCTAAATATCAAACATCTTAGGCATAACATGGAACAAGTATTTTCCATCAAGTATTGATGTGTTGAACTTTGAGTCCTTATAGAATGTGAAGAAAAAAATAATTTTAAAAATAGGTATAAACACATATTTTTGCATAGAAATTTAGAAATCTAACCATATGCAGCATTGTAGCAGGACAGTCCTGTGACTTTTTTTTTTTGTCTTTTTTTCATTTATTACCCTTTATTTAAAGAAAAAAGAAAACTTTTACTTGAGAGACAGTATGGTAATAAAATGGTATGTCGGGCTGGAGAGATGGCTCAGTGGTCTAAAGCACCTACTTAGAACAAGCTTAGCAAAAGCATCAGGGACCGCGGTTCAATCCCCCAGCACCACATGCCAG